ACAGGGTTAGTCTCAACTCGGGGAAAATGCAAATTTTCAAGGCTATTGTATTAACGACATTTTCTCGTGCTCTCTTTTGTGTTTGGTCAGGTCTTTGCGCAAGAGAATCTGTTGTCAAATAAAGCAGCGGTTTTTCGCTATGAACTCGAAACTGGAGTATTCCAAAGCTGTTTATCTATTTACAAGTATATACTCAACGCCTATGTCGTAACTATGATTGGATGATTTCCGCTACTTTTCTTTTCACTGTATTTTACAATTTCGCACAGAGCTCAAAATCTTAACTTCTATAAAATCTTAAAAATGCAGCTGCTTTTGCCGAATCCTCAGAAACATGTCATTGGACGCGTCTTTTATAAATATTGAAACCGATCATGGAGARTCATGAACTAATTGTTTTTGTATTCTGTTCAATGTCGCAATTGGGTTTGACCTTGCTTACCATTTCAACCCCACCATGTGGGAAGATTCGATTCTTTGAACACCTGAATCTTCGCATTAATTCCGATCTGAACTCACGCATGCGCAATGCATACACAAAGAAATTGGCAAGTGAGTTGGCATAATGAGGCACTTTGCAGATGTTTCGGGCCAACCAATAAGCTTTCGATGCACTCGATCGAGGATAAAYTGCTATATATGCAAGCGTTATTTTGTAAGGGAWCCATGTGGCCAAGCTGATGATRGTTACAATTGCAAGGGTMGTTGTCAGTTTCTTATTCTCTTGGTTAATCTCTTGGTTCGATGTCATTCCCCAGCAACGAACTTTCACAAGGATTAGCACATAAGCACCGCATATAATCATCAATAGAATTAGAATACTTGAAAATTTCATGATGAGATAGAAGAACAGATCGGTAGCGATTAAATATGATGACAACCCTGAGAGGACAGCAAGTAACCATGCTAATGTAATCCCTATAATATAAGGGACTTTGCCCAGTGTATTGTGTYTGAACGGAAAGTATGTTGCATGTGCTCGTTCGATGGCMAGCAATGCCAAGAAAATCAAAGATGCTGATCCAAAAAGAAGGTCTTCAAAAAAGTAAACCATTAAATACGTATACGATTTCTTCAAAATTGGAACTTCTTCAAATCCGATATGCATAGGGACGGACACCAGCCCTACAAGTAGATCAGCTACAGCTAGGCTGATCATGAGTACATACTGTCGACGTCGCAGACGAGGAGTAGTTGTGAATAYCACGATGGTGATRAWGTTTCCTGCTACTATGACAACTGCCTCTAGGACATACAGCCAAGAAATGGACCACATTGCTYTAAACCGTGTGGTGGGTAGGAACGGACTMTGAAAAGGCGATAAATATYGATAAAAATGGTAATTTCATGTTTTACTGTTTTACTGAAGGTAACGATATAAAAGAGGTAAAATGTATGTTAAGTATGTCAATCATCACACGTTCCATGTATTTAACATGGCAGTGTGGAGTTCAATACCTGCTTCAGTTTTTACGGACGCATGCTTTACAGAAAAAAATGGATAAATACCTCTTTTATATCAAAACAAATATCGACTTCGCGCTCATGTTATCTATAGGACAAGAAATTTTAAATTCATCACATTTTGGTGTTGTTGTCGTTGTTGTTGTTTAAAAAACAGATTTCAATAAAATGAACGGTCGGTTCATCTGTCTTTTGATTGATCGATTACTCAGTTGGAATCTTCGTTTTTTAATCAAAAAGTTCAAGTTTGCTTAAGATAATAATTGATTGAAGASGTACCTGATCCAGATGGTACATTTATTTCCATAATCAATATTATCTCGTCCAATAAGGAGTAGTTATACCACYATGTGGTCATGCAATGTTTAAGATATGGCATACAGCCCATCTACGGAAGGTTGTTCATAAACTAAACGGCTGAAAATGTCTAGTTCACATAGATAACCTTTCCAAGATGTGTTGTAGAGAGAAATTTACCTTATAGAATGATCCCAATCAGTTGTATATCTTGTAAAGATATTTTTTGTTTGGGATTAGAATTATTGTTGCTTCTGCTGATGGCCAAGTAATCTAAATGCGACAAATTCCCAAAGTCAAAAGAGCCGTTTTCCACAGCACTGAAACAACAACAACAAAAACAACTTTATTTATACACTTAACACCTCTGTAAGTCAAAAATCTCAATATTTCKCTAAACAATTACAACAAGATCTTTTCTTGATGATAGTGTATAAACCTTTTTTTTGTCTAGTCACTAGTGTTGCCTCAAGGCTAAATGAACTAGAACTACTTAAAAAAGACGGAAAAAARGTAAAACAAGATTTGATGGACGTGATCATGATAATAATCGCAATTTCAAGATCGTTGGTTTTCGGATTATTATTTTACCAAATAACCAGGTGTTCAAGCACATTTGTGTGTAGTGCGGCTGACACAGGTTCACGAAAAACCTCTGAAGAGCAGAAAAGTAAACAGTTTTAATACAAATGTCAGTCTATGATTAATTAAATTTGATACAAAACTACGAAGATTAACCACATTTTCGCAAAATCAAATCATAATTTTTGTACTGAATAAGCACTTGGTAAAACCAGGTTGAATTCATAAGATATACAATAGTGTAGACTAATTTTTCAAATGATGAAAACACTTATGACAATCATAACAAGATCACAAGGGGATCATCCCAAGATTTTATCAAATTAAAATGAGTGGGAAATTCTGCACTATTGCTCATTTGTACGACCTAAAATCTTTTTATCCTCAGTTTTTTGAAGACGCAGTTATTGAAAGAATCAAAGCGATTAGTCAAGAATACAAATAGAGATACTAAGTCTTAGCTGAAAAATAAACAAATACTATAAAAGCACGGAATACCCTTGAGCCAAGAATTAATTAGGCAAGCAATTAAGTATTTCTCGTAAAGCGACATTGACGGCGCATTTTCGTTTTTAAAAAGTTACAGTAAAAAAACCTTTTACTTGTGTTGCGATCTTTCTTTGAAATTTGAGTTAATTTAAGGTTTTGCTTTGACTACTCGGGGCGAGGTTTCCCTTCTAACAATCAATGATATTCAGTGACATTTTCATTCTAAATCTCATTGTTAAAGAAGATTTGTTTATAAATTTRTTTGRAGTAAAGTTTCAGTGCGTGTGTTTTAAAGGTTTTTGGTACAAAACRAGCAGAAAAAGGTACATTTTACTTTGGAAAAGTCGTTTTTCCAYAGATTGTMGATRAACATACTCGAGTTATTCCGCTATTTCTTTTTACCTTATTTGTTCACCGCAAAATACAAACCTGTTAACTTGTAAGAAGATGGTTATAGCGGAGCTGGGTACACGTCAAAAGCCAATGTTTAACTGTTTGAACCTTATCACTTCAAATACATGAAGCAGCTGACGGTATCCACGAGAGACTTTCGACTTTATCAAGTACATCAGTATTCAAATTTTAGACAAATCATCTTTATTTATGGTAAGGAAAGTAATGTTATGTATTTCCTGTGCCTTTCGTTAGTGTATCTGACAGCTGCTGTTGTTCATCTTAAAATTCATCCACATTTGGACGAAATGGCTCGCTTAAAGCAAAAAAAATAAAGAAACTTACACTGGAAAAGATCGCGCGCTTTAAAGGTAGTAAATTTGATGTAAATATGATGTAAGTGTCCAAAATTCTGTAAATTTGATGTAAATGATTCCCATTAAATTTACAGAATTTTGGACACTTACATCATACATCAAATTTACAACCTTTAAAGCGCGCGGTTTTTTCCAGTGTTAGCATCTCAGATTGAAAAGCAACGAATTTATATCTCATACGGTTATATTTATCCAGGCCCAATTTTAGCAGAAATCCATGTCAGAGGAAATGAATAATTCATGAAGTATTCAAATACTGAATTATCGGAAGGTAGTTTCTAAAGTGCGAAGTTCTTTTAAGAACTTAAAAGCACCATTCCCTCACACACTGGAAAAAATTGCGCGCTTTAAAGGTTGTAAATTTGATGTAAATATTATGTAAGTGTCCAAAATGATGTAAGTTTGATGTAAATTTACATCAAATTTAAGCATCAAATTTACATCATTTTGGACACTTACATAATATTTACATCAAATTTACAACCTTTTAAAGTGAACGATTTTTTCCAGTGACAGAAAAAACTATCGGTTAACCAAACCAATAAATAAAAATACTATCCTCCAGCTTTGTGTCCAGGTGCAGTTTTTAATGCGCATACTGCTTCTTTTTGTATAGATACACTCACAARGACTTTTAAGAGATAAATGACACGCGACCTTATTCCAGTAAATTGCAACATTGATCAATAACTGGTAAAATCATGACCGAATACGAACATGGATTTGTTTAAACAAGATACATATTAAATTAAATTTGACCGTGGTTCTTCATTGGCTTGCAGATATCAAATCAGGATATTGATGGTCACGACTGAGATAGATAGCCTACTTCCTATTGACTTTATCCACTTCGCCTAATGAAATGTGTCATGCGAAATGTGGACCGAAATAGTGCACTAGGTGTCCAGTAACACGTAATAGAGACATTGTGTACTAATAGTGAATTGTCTATAACCAAAGCTCTACGTGCCGGGCGCACAGCTTGTAGCAAGATGAACGTCTTCAGCTTAAATTGACATACGACCAATTTAAAACTTTCAAAGAGGAAAGTGTTTTTCTCTTATCAAGAACCTCAAAAGTAAATGAAACAATATAGTAAGTGTTCAAATTCTTAAAATTATCGGAAGCTAGTTKCTAATGGAGAAGTCCTCAAGCGCTATTCCCTCGACCCTTAGAGTACAACTGTAAGATTGAATATATTAATGAAATATGYAGGTAAATTCGAACAAATTMGAACACGATGACAGAAACATCCTCATTGCGCATTAKAAAAAATTAAAGAATGGCTTAAGCAATTGGAGTAGATGCTGGAAATATTTAGTTCAAGTCCTCATAAACAATACTAACAAATATTAATTGAAATCTTGATATATTTGACTAACACCGAACTACTACTAGTTTTAGACGTAATTCTACTCGCGTCTTTAAGAGTCTTATTTCACCTTGGCAGCAGCTAAGTTGTCCCCGTGACAATGTCTCCTCTACACTTGATAAATTATTTACAAGGTAATTAATAGATACACTGTTACTTTGCAAGTTTTAATTCCACCGTTGAAAGAGTAAAARTCGACAAAATCAACCTTTTTCGTCATCTACAAGGATGTAACTTGTGCCTCTCGCCATCAGAATCAAARTGTTGCAGATGGGGTTATTTCATCTTTCATGGACCTGGACCGCCGTGACTAGGCTTAGTATTTTGATTTTGGACATTGCTACAATTCCTTTTTAAGCTCTTCTCCATTTCAGTTCCTCCGACCGGGAAGATTCGTTTCTTTGAGCACCCAAATTTTCGCATCAATTCCGATCTGAAATCACGCATGCGCAATGCATACACAAAGAAATTGGCAAGTGAGTTGGCATAAKGAGGCACTTTGCAGATGTTTCTAGTCATCAAGAAAGCTGGGGATTTCAACAATTTAGGATAAATTGCTATATATGCGACTGTAACATTGTAAGGGATCCATGTGGCCAAGCTGATGATAGTTACAATTGCAAGGGTCGTTGTCAGTTTCTTATTCTCTTGGTTAATCTCTTGGTTCAAGGTCAAGGTCATTCCGCAGCAACGGACTTTTACAAAGAKGAATAGATATGAACCACAAATGACCAATAATAAAACGGTTATGCTGGCTACCTTWGTGATAAGATAATACAAGGCACTAGCAGTGGTCAGATATGATGACAACCCTGAGAGGACAGCAAGCAACCATGCTAMTGTAATCCCTATAATATAAGGGACTTTGCCCAGTGTATTGTGTTTGAACGGAAAGTATGTTGCATGTGCTCGTTCGATGGCCAGCAATGCCAAGAAAATCAAAGATGCTGATCCAAAAAGAAGATCCCCAAATAAATAAGTCAGAACATATGTCGTATTCATCTTAAGATGGGGAACTTCTTCATATGCGATATGCATAGGGACGGACACCAAACCTACAAGTAGATCAGCTACAGCCAGGCTGATCATGAGTACATACTGTCGACGTCGCAGACGAGGAGTAGTTGTGAATATCACGATGGTGATTATGTTTCCCGCTACGATGACACTTGATTCAAGTGCAAACATCCAAGAAATGGACCACATTGCTCTTAGCCGTGTKTATAATAGTGGAAGGACMTTCTGAAAAACATAACCAAAAATWGAGGTAAACACGAATATATACAAAAGGGAAAATCACAAGGCAACTAAGGAACATCAGCAGAAAACAAAATACTGGAAAAAAATTACTATAGGTTCACATGTTGATATATTCTCTAGAGAAATCTAGCCTAACCTCCATATCTCCTATATACAACAATTGGCCAATTCTCGACTAGAGAGTTGCACTAAAAAGTACAAATTTCAGCTACCGATCAGAGCAGGAAAAGACCCACTTGCCAAACTTTAATTTCTTAAAGTTTTGTTTGTTAACAAAYTGTGTTGACCATGATTTTTTACCTGATGTTTTCTCTGAGCAATGATACGATTGAATATGTGCGCTTTTTCAAAAGATTCAAGTTAAAATGTTCACTAACCTTTCAATTTTTAGACATGCTATGTGTTTTTTTCAGTGTGTCGAGCGAGCAGGTAGCTTGAAATTAATCAGCGAGTTTAGTCAAGATGTTTATGACGTCTACATATGTATATTGGAGATATTTGTGCTTTAATTAAACTTACCAATGGAGGCCGATAACCATCTTTTACATCAAAAACGATCACGTCTACATGTAAACATTAGGCAAGCTAACAAATAAGATCAAATATCATGTCGAGGACCAATTCGTTTCATCTCAATATAAACGTCACGAACCCTGATGCGTCCATAGAGGGAGTACGAGTTTTGATGCCTCAATCAGACAAGCCACGCCAATTACAATGGACAATTCGGTTGGTAATAAGAATTCAAATTAAACATCGTGAAGGAGGTAGCTGTCCAGACGGTTAAGACATTTCCGAACCGAAATGACAACTGCATGAAATACTCTTTTTGATTAGCTCGCTGTTTATTAAAGAATATATCTCATTTTATTGGCTCGTTGTTTATTAACAAATCTCATTTGATTGGCTCGTTGTTTATTAACAAATCTCATTTGATTGGCTCGTTGTTTATTAACAAATCTCATTTGATTGGCTCGTTGTTTTAACAAATCTCATTTGATTGGCTCGCTGTTCATTATCAAATCTCATTGGCTCTGCCATCAGTTAATTAGTTATGGAACTTTGTCACTCAAAAGAGAAAATTGTAAAAGAGAATTATAATGTAAGACCACAAGAAACACGATAAAAAAAGCAAAACCAGAAAACATAAGTCCAATATATATAATCGTATGTTCTTATGCGATATTAGATCAGTACGGATGTACCAGCAAGCAGTAGCTGGTCTTAAAGAGTCCGGGTTTACCTCTTCCAGTTGTTGTCGCCGCACTAGTTGTGTTCAGTATGTTTGTTCCGCTATTTTCTAGCTATAGCTAGTCAACGGGGACGTRTACTACTCCATATTAAAGTTCTGCGTAGAAGTAGTCCTTTAAAAACTTTTCTGTTTTTTTGTGGATTGAATTTTTTCTTCTTCAGATATATACAAACAACTACAGTCAAAAGACATGAAGCGCGCTCACGAATAGTCAATGCATTATTGGATTTTTCGTTTTATTTTTCGTTTTCAAACTTTAGCTGATTAATGCAAAATTAAATTCAAACCTCGAGCTCTGATAATGACAGAAAACAACACAGCATTTCCAGCTTTTTGAGACCGTCATTCCTTTCTCACGAGAAGGAACAGAGCCAACCAAATTAACAGACAACATATTGCAATGCATCGACTTGTGGAAATTACAAAAGACCAGCATGTTTACAATACGAAGAAGACTTTATGAAAATCCGATCAAATCCAATCAAATTTCGAAGTTTGAATTCAAATTTGACTTCAATAATGTAATGTTGAATCGACCAAGAATCGAATGAATTGAATAATGGTGTTTTGAGGGGGCGCGCTTCATGTCTTTTGACTGTAACTTTGATTGTTTTTTTCGAATTGTACAATTATTATATTCTCGGAGATTGTTGGCACACTTTCTGTTGCCATGTGCAAAGCTTAATTTTTTTGAGTTTGGTGTTGTTGCTAGTTTGAATAAAAGTATATTATTCTGTTCAAGTACAATTTTTTTATTCCTTTCATGTTTCCTATTCTCTGTCGATTGAGAGAATTCGGGTTCTTGTTGGCCGGAGATTGATGAAGTAAGTTAGTTACCTTTGTGATTGCAAAGGAATCGGTAAATCAATGAYTGACCGTGTTTTCATGCTGTTTTCACCTCTTGTACCATCGTTTGGTGACACTTGACGACTACCCCACCTGAATCTACGCAGCAACTCTACTTTAAATTCKCGCATGCGAAATGCGTARACAAAGAAGTTTGCCAAAGAGTTGCCGTAATGGAGAACTTTGCTGATGGTGCGAAACGTCCAATATAAGTTTGTAACTTTGGTGCCGAACGCTACAAATGCTAACAGCATTGCTTGGTAAGGCACCCAAGTCACAAGACTGATGATTGTAACAATAGAGAGTGTTGTGGTAAGCTTTTTATTGCCTTGTGTTGTCGCCTGATGACTTGTCCTCGACATGCAACGCACTTTTACGACGATAAGAACATACGCACCGCAGATGACAGTTAGCGTGATTCCGGCAGACACGATTTTTGCTATTACGTAATATGGAAAGTGAGTGGTTATYGTATGATATAGTACAATGCCATTGGCCAATGTTAGTGCCCAAACCGCTGCAATACCAATAGCATATGATCCTTTACTCAATGTATGATGGCTGAAWGGGAAGTATGTCGCATGTGCTCGTTCAATGGCTAACGCTGCCAAACCAAATAAGGAAGCCGTTCCAAGGACCGTATCTTGTACCAAGTTTGCCTTTGAAAATTGCGATGGGAACTTMAATGTCGGGATTTCCTGAGATACAATTTGCAAGGGGACTGACAGCAAACCCACTAACAGATCAGSTACWGCCAGACTGACGATCAGTGCGTATTGTCGACTGCGCAGGCGCGAAGTAGTTGTGAATATGACGATGGTGATGACGTTTACTGCTACTATGACAACGGCTTCTAGAAGCATCAACCAGGACGTTGGCTGCATTGTGCTAACAGTGCACTTATACTTGGACGCTAAAGAAGAAAATGAAATTCATGGATAAAGCAAACTTTTCATGACTGTGACGTTACGTGACGTGATATAACGTCATAAAAAACGGATCTGCAGGCTTAGCGAACACATTTCTACGCAGGTGTTTGAAGATAATTTTTAATTTTTATTTTTTTTATTATTAAAATAACCATGGAAGGAGGGAAGGGAAGCTTCCTCTATAAAATACGCTCTGCATTAATAATCAATAATGATGTTAAATAATATGATAGTGATAACAATGCGAACAGTTTATTGAAGTGAAGATGGGCTAACTGTCCCCGCAGCATGAGTGTTGAGAACTTTAGTAATACTTATCCCACYAGCTAGCTAATCAGTTTCAGGCTTCATCTCTCACTGACAACAAGCAACCGAAAAATACTATATAAACCGTTTTAAATTGTTTGACAGTACTATATAGTTCAAAACGTTGCTTTGGAAGTTTGTATGCCATTTGGACGAATAAAGCAAAAATAGCAAATTGTTGAATAATCATGTAAGATCGTCCATAATAACAGGATTATACAACGAAAACATCCTTTCATTTCCCCGACAATTAACTTTTTTCGAAATAGGCATATAGAATATAAAAAAAATAACACAAAAATCTAAAATWTTACCTGCTGTTGTTACGTTTCACGGATAATGAACAAGAAAAAAACACGCGTTGAGAGTTTTTTTTTACTTTATTACAGATAATATCGTTGAAGAGTACGTAAGCACGAGTGAACGAATGGAAAACGTTAAAATGATATTATTAGGCGAAGCCAACAATATTCAGTATATTTCATATTGATATTGATCAAATGCCAAAATAAATATGAAAAATATTGAAAATTAAAAATATTTGCTCGAGCTCTGAAATGATTAGCYGCCGACAAAGGGATTGTCAAGGCAACAGCAATATCTTTCATATGAAACCATGTCAGAGAGATACGTATTTTAACTATGATCWGGTTTTATTATCGCCACATCTGTGAAGTTAGATAAAAATTGATTTTTGTTTTTGTATGAAACAGCTATCCTAAAAACACCTTTGAAAGTGAAAGAGACTTCTGCCAGTAGATTATTTGACATTATTGTGTGCCTTATTATTATTATTATATATAAATATATTATCAAATATTACATAAAGTATAATACAAAGTGTTCTAGTATTTGTATATTTACCTTGTAAGAGAGAAGAGCGAGCCACTTTAAAAACCTCAGATGGTCTAGTCCGAAAAGCAATTTCAAATATAGCGAAAACTTAGTTATACGCTTAATTTAGATACGAAAGCATTTGGATGGCTTCATTGGTTCGCCAATTATATTTCTTAACTAAAGCAGAGGTCGGATTGGAACACGAGTAGATTCATTGAACATATTTAACTTACTAATCCAAAGTTTACCGTAGAAAGGAAATRATATAAAAATGAATACTTGACAGCTTAGCATGATCGGAAGTTAGCATTTTTTGACCACTTGACATATCAAGCAATTTCCTAAATCGCTCTGCAATCTAGTTATACTATAGCTGCAAATATGATCACTTGATTCCGTGAAATTTTTGAAAATTAATAAAAAATAAATGTCTCAAATAAAATGCCCCGCATAGTTCTCAAATTGCTTTCTTGGTGGCACGCAAATATAAAACGAAAGAATGACGTAAAAGCATCTAAAATACATTATGATTTTAATACCCGTCGAGAAATAAATGAGAAATGCAGCGACATCTTGATCAGATCACCTGACGATCAATCCTCGAATGCAAACTTTTGAAAAAAAGCACTGTGAGGTCGAGTGGAATCATGGAGTTGGTCTCGCAGCCCGGTGGTAAATCTTCTCTACTGACAGAGACAATTGTGGCAAATATWGTATTTTTTTAAAACCTTTTCTGTTTGTTGGTGATTGCTAAAAATAGAAAAACACTTTGCTTCTTTTTTTGATTTAAAACTGGGTCGTATTTTGTGRATTTACTGTATGAGGTTCGCTAGCTTAAAAAAAAATCAGAGATGAATTTATATTCTATTTTTATATTCTTCAACTGCCTATTTTGAATTGAGTCGCCAATAAATAAATCTTCAAACACAGCATTCCCTTTTCTCTGATACAAAGGGCAATAAGACATGTTTTATGAAATCTAGATGTGATGTGTACTAGGTAAACCAATTGATATCAATAATAAAATGCTGAATTGAACTTGGTTGTTCTTCTACTTGCAGGCACATTCTCATGATTATAAGGACACTAGAAATATAAATAAAAACACACACAAGTGACAACAAATTCATAAAATAATATGCGATTGATAATCATGACATGTGTAGAGGCAAACAAATTAAGACACTACTGAAGCTTTTCAGTCAATACTTGATTTTCAATGCATTGTGGGATCAGTTTCTATAGTAACACGACAGATGCTAATCAATTTTGCAATAGTCAACTTGAGATATTTTGGTTTCGATGACTCTGTACAAAAGAACGAACATGAGGCTCCAAGAAAACAATGGATAATCTTGATTTATTCTTTTATTTCCCCGGAGCCAAGTCTGCAATTCTTTTGTGAATGATCAATGAACCAAAATATCTAAAGTCGGCTATTGCAATGGAGCGTTGCGCTTATATTATTGGGTTGTCCAGTTGTCAAGAAAGAAAGAAAGAGAAAACACATGAAAGGTCCAAGAAGCATAAAGATTGAGTAGAAGCAACAAGGCAGTAAAGAGATTAAAGCATACAAGTACAATGGACTTTTGCATTATATTAACATCATGTACATACATGTCGGCATCCATTACCACAGCAGGAATTTCTTTGTTTATGGAATATCTCAGTGAATACAGCATAGCCAGTGGCAGGGTCCTTGTACATACTCTCTCCATTCTGATAACATTGTAACTGTGATGTTAAATTGTGTCGAAATTTGGTAACAAATAAACAAAAAAGAAATAAAGACGAAGCTCTGAGGAAACAATGAATGATGTCTACTCAGATGCAGGTGCCTTTTCTATTTTAAAACTGTTACCTAAATTATTAGTTATTTATCCAACACTCTATTATTTTTCTATACTTTTTAGTAATATAAATTGTAATCTATTGGCCTACCTCGATTAGTTTTTTCTATTTATAGGCCAATGGAATCGTGATATATTTATTAATCATTGAAAATTGAAATTTTCTCAACCTCTTTTAAGACATTACAAGAACCATTATCATAAAAAATACAAGTTAAAGCTGACCTGACATGCCTCGAGGTGTCTATAATATATCTCTTTCTCTTCTTCTGATAGTTTTCCTAGGTCAACACTATCTTTGGATGAAATCTCAACAGACCCAACAAAGTTCGAATTCTTCCCGACACATTTATGAGATTGATCTGAATTTCCATTCACAGTCGAAGTAGTACTGCTTGCCTTTGATGTTTTTTCTTGTAAAACACTTCGCTGTGGACTTCTTGAACACATTTCCGAGATGTTTTTTAGTAAACCAAATCGAACTTTTAGCGTGGAGGACCTGCCAAGGACTGAACAAAAAAATACCTTTCTCATCACTGAGAAATCGTCGAATTGAAAATTACCTTAGTCTTAATAAAGGCATGTTAAGTGTGCCTTAATCTTTTTTATCCATTTTCATTCAGTATAGAGTCTTTAGATAGCATTAAAAAAAATGAAGGACATTTAGAGGATTCAACTCCATGAATTGCTAATTTAGCCAGGCGTTCCTGGATACCTCCACAGGAAGCCCAAATGTTGTTAACGCGGGGRAATTAACGTAATACCGGGATTTTAACGTTGTTAATTTTTAAATGCTAATTACCGGCCCGTGGATCGTGGGACCGTGGTAAGGTTTTTCGTGCATATTGTGACGGAGGCTGAAGATTTCTTGACACCATCAAATAATTAATCAAAGATCAAGTCGTTTTGAATCATGGCTCAATTATTTTCAGACCTCGAACAGGACATCAAAGGAAAGATTGTCACCGCATCTGATGAATTTGCCTACGAAAACGAGGTGAACAAATCTTGGAATGCAGTTAACAGGAATAGACGTCCGTTGGCCTTTGTCAAAGTCAAAGGAAAAGAAGATGTGAAAAAGATTGTAAGATTTTGCGCAAAACACGAGGTAGATTTCTAATGTTCAGGTACACATAAAATAACCACGCAAGAAGCAGGCAGAGGACTAAAACGCCAAACGCCTCCTTTCAGTTGACTGAGGAAGGGAGGGCGGGACTCCCTTAGTGATGGTCCATTTAATTTTTGAGGGGGGGGGACCTGAAAAAAATTCTTGCACCACCCTAAGCCCCCCAAAAATGTTACATACATGAAAAAAAATCCTACACACCACAGAGCCACGAAGAAAAAAAAATCTTGCTCACAAGAAATCATCAACCCCCCCCCCCCCCCCCTCAAAAGTTAAATGGACTGTCCCTTATAAAAATTGTTTTAAGTATGCTCGACAGACGGTATCGATTCAGGTATCGATTCCAGACACTAAAAGGTTTACGGCCACTTGAGAACGATTTTGATGTCTTTGACAAGAGAAAAGCTCAAGTTTAACAAACGAAAGGTATGATGTCAGCTCAGGACCCTAAAAGGCCGCGAGGGTTATATTTTCAACCCTAAAAGGTCCAACTTTTATATGGGAGTCCCCCCTCCCCTCCCCCCAGGCTAACTGTACATTAAATATTTTTGATGATCCCATTTTGAAATGGGCAAAATTTTGTTCACTTGTCGCCAATTTCGTTTCAAATTTTAGTGATATCTTGATTTTCATTACAGCTGATCCTCAAATGCAGTAGCTGCGATCGCAAATTTTAGTGATGTCTAGATTTTCATTAAAGCTGATCCTCGATTGCAGTAGCTGTGATCGCGGATCCAAAGGACTTAAAAGTTGTATCTTTCACATGTGCCCTATATAATATTGTAATTTTTAGCTTGAAGTCTGTGTATATAATGGAGGAACAAGTGCTTTCTGCATGAAAGATGAAGCTGTTGTAATAGACTTGTCAACAATGTGCAATGTCCAAGTGGATGCAGAAAATAAGGTGACTTTTATTCACTTTCCTTCCATTTGCTACACTACTTTTCCTTTTTTTTTTCTAGATTTGATTTCATTATATATAATATTGCTGCTTTATCAATGATCACTCTGTTTTTTCTATATATATTAGACTGCAATTATTGAAGGAGGTGCAAAAGTGGCTGATGTAAATGAAGCATTAGGCAGGCATGACTTTGTCATACCACTTGGAAGCTTTTCGCAACTGGGCGTGGCTGGTATGACTCTTAATACAGGAGGACAGGGTTTCCTGTCTAAACGTTTTGGGATGACATGTGATAATGTCTTAGAATTTGGTAAACATTATTTCTGCAACATCATTAAATGATTAGAATTAAAATAATATAATTATATAATATTTGAAAAATATAAATAAATAAAATGTCGATGGTAATGACTTTTATTTGTCCAATTTGATTTAACTCAGACCTTGTGCTTGCCAGTGGAGAGTTGATTAAGGTCAGCGCAGATGAACATCCAGAGCTTTTCTGGGGGATGAAAGGCCATGGGTCAAGTTTTGGGTGAGTGATATCTAAAATGAAGATTTCTATAGACTGATTTAATGGACATTAAGCCTTTAACATGATCTGAAGATTTACAAGTTTGTCTAATTGTTTATGCAGGATTGTTACATCCATGAAATTYCAGCTCAATGTCATGTCCAGTCAAGTGGTTGCAGGCTCCATGTACTTCCCATTTTCTCGAGCAAAAGATGTAGTTAAGATGTTCCGTGATTATTCTGTGGAAGCAGATGACAATTGTCTTACTCTTTATATGTTGATTCACATTGGGCCAACAGGGTATGTAACTTATGTAAAACTGATATTGTTGGATATAAACGCCACACCATCGTTTCTGAGGGATCCCTTGGTTCTGATGTTTTTGTTGTTTTGCTTTCCAGCCCTGAGATGATAGTCAGGCTGAATTACTCTGGAACACTTCAACGAGGAGATGAAATTGTACAAGATCTTGTTGACCTTACTCATCCCTACAAGTTTAATTGTGGACCTGTCAATCACTGTGACTTTCAAAAACAAGGAGATCTTCTTCTGCCAAGTGGACGATTCAACTATAGCGTGAAAGGTCATATCCTTTCAGGTAAGAGATGATGAAAAAACAATCCCATCAAAACAGT